TGGGGGTGAGCCTGCATGGTGACTTGACGCTGACAATGTGCGGCGATGTTAGTGGTGTGGTGTAACAGTAACGCTAGCGGGCAATCTGTGGAAGGGGAGGAGGGGGAGCGTGACGTATCTAGTAACGATTTCTTGTGCTACCTGCGTGAGGCGGTGAGGGAGGTGAGGTGAAGTGGGCGTGAAGACGCGATAAAACGGCAGATTTAAAGCGTTAAAAGAACGGTAACAAGGATGCAACGGTACGCGGGAGGCGTGAGACGTATGGCGTGAGGCGTGGGCGGCGTGAGAGGCGTGAGGGGAGGACCTAGAGCGGTTGAGGCGAGGAGTGGTGGCGAAACAGCAGTAATGGTTACGCGCGGTCGCGTCTAGGGCAATTTTATAGCGTACACAAACGAATGTGTTTAAAAAAAGGTAAACTAGTTCGAGCATACGTTAGCCTATAGAACAAGTGATCGTCGCACTTACGTGCACATTGCAGAGTGGAGACGCTCTGTCCGACGGCGCGTGCAGTAGATTACGTGCGTCTCGTGGCAAACAGGTGACGTTGATCGCGGTACAACTCGTGCTTAGAGAGAAAAACAGATATTAGAACAGATACGGTACTAGATAGCAGATACTATACCGATAATAGAAACGTGGCTATCTACGCAAGTATTGCCACTACCGAACCAAACCGCTGGTCATTGCACCAATCTAGGGAAGCCGTTCAGCTTCCCGCTCCCCAGGCTCTACGGTTTGGTAGGTGCGCCCGTGGCACCCGTTCCGTAGGGTAGTGACAGGTTGCGTGGATAGCGCCCGCGATAGGTAGATAACACAGATACAATAACACGAACACAGTATTGGTACGCTACTCTCCGTGCGTCTACAGCTCAATCAGACACAATACACACTAGTGCTGTGCGTCGGATCCGATAATGCTATCGTACAGCACAGATCGTAACCGAATATCAGTAACCTCGTACGCGTAAGACGTGATCGGCGAAGTAGCTCGGCGAGGGGTGAAAGGTGGATAGTTGAAGGTAGGCAGGAGAAGATGCAGAGGAAAGTATAGGAGAGAATAGGGTCAGGAGCGGGGGAAAACCTGGACCGTGTTGCGGGAAGGATGAGAGCCGAGTGTGTCCTCTACCTCCGAGTTTTCGCGTCAACAAATCCGGTCCGTTACTATTCGGCAGGTGCATTTCGGCGCGATCCACCAAATATGCGTCTGTTGTGATTTATGTGACGCGCCGTACATGCGTGCTGCGAACTAAATATAACCTGTGCAGCCGGCTTCCCTACACAAGTGGAGAACTAATCAGGGGTGATTGACTCGCATATAGACTATTGGCAATGTTTGCCAGGCTGACAGGTTACAGAGATAATAAATACAGATTTTATATATATGGACAATAATTATATTATATTATAAATGTTTTGTATATATATATATATATATCAAGAGTAGATAATACAACAGTTATTTTAATGACAATAATAACGTTCCATCATGAACAATGTGGTCTAAATAAGTAAAACAGAAGTTCTGACCACCTTACGGGCATGGACTAGTATCATATAATAACATCTACGTATATCTCTGTGCACCTCTTGGTATGTTCAACTGGAGACCGGTAACCACTCAATCGTTGCACGACGCTGCCTCGAAAACGTCATAATTCTCCGTATCCTCCAGTCTGGCGATTGACACTGAAAATAACTTTGATGCGTATATATCAATTCATTGTGTTTCTTGTGAGCTTAGGCAAGGAAGACGGAGAACGAATAAAGAGGAACTGACTCACATATAGACTTTACCGTTAATTATACCCTATCGCTAAGTAATACTATAACCACGCATCTTTATGCAAATATAACGCATGAAAAAGGTACTTACAATTTAACTCAACCAAGTATATGAGCGTTATCCTGGTTAATCCATTTATATGCTATAATTAAACGAGTGAACAACATGAATTAAGTATGAAATTATAACAGCTACGGAAGCTTCAGTTAAGCAAGAATTCCTGTATATTTATTTACTCACGTTAGCTGTAATTATGCGCATTTGAAGTTGTCACAGCTTGAATCTTTGACGACAAAAACACAGAGCGAACATGGCAGGGACGCTTCGGGCCACGTGTATACTGACCGTGATATATCTCGCGAGAGAGAAGCCCGTCACGGCGTGACGAAAGTCCAAGTGATTCATTCATATATGCGCGCTTTATATGCTGAACATACTGGCAGGCTAAAGAATTAGGTTAGATTTAAGTTTTAAACCACACATACATACACTCATACACATACAGACCTCCACCCAACCCCACGTAAAACTGCCGAACCACGTCCCGTGCAGCAAACGAGTAAATAGCATTGTACATTGTACATAACCATGATACTATTTGATTTTGGTAAGTGCAGCGGATTTATGGAAGATTTCATTGATTGAGGGATTTCAATGCTACAAACAATATTACAGACGACCCCACATTAAGTACACAATCAAATTACGCAACACATGTAATACTGAAACACGATTTAAATTTTTACAAAGCCCTTTATTAATTTTCTAAAAAAAGACAAATTTCTCGTCGCGCACAAACCTTCATGGTGGATGCAGACACGCTGCTGCAATCGATTTCACTATTATGTTTATGCGATGGTTTTCCTATATTATATCACGTACACGTACAGTGTACGACACAATGACGAAACCCTATAATCAGAAATATATTGCACTGAATGTTTCACCATACAGTTAAATATCTATTATAGCGAATGGGCACGCAGTATATCGCACGAATGCTCGACGTTCGGTTGGCGTTAAAGAAATCTATGATGAATTAAATCTAGATTCGTGACATTTATCCCTTTGCAATTACAGAAATCCTAAACTGCACGCTTTACGATACGATCTCTCATATTACGGCAGGTGTGGAGAAATATTAAATTCATTTCCAGTGTACGATGTTGGAATAAATTTAACGGCAACACGCGTTCGCGTCTACGGCAACGAGAAAATGGTGCAGTAGTGACTCAATACACTCAGATACATAACAAAATCACTAGCTATAGTGATTATCATAGCCTATCATACACTCCTTCTGTACAAAATAGATGGGATTTAAACAACTTATCATTCCGATATCAATTTCATTCTTCCACGTGCGAGCTTTACGTGATACGGCAGCGCCACCTGGAAGACACATTGCGAAATAATCTCAGCGGTAACAATGGCCATCATACATGCAGATTTGAGACATCCTAACAACAAATTTGACAGCAGACACGCACGAGTTGATCAGTGATTGACTAGAAATATTTCTTGTGAGTCTCGCACGAACAGCAAAAGCCATGATTCTGTCTCGCACGACTTCCCCATTTTGATCAGTAAAATGCCACGCGTTGGCGTGACACTATTCAACTTTGGTTTGGAATTCTGCTCTCGCGCACGCCTGCGACAACGCACGGAGTCGCAATACTGCTGGCGTGAATCTCACAGCGTCGCTCTCTGCTCAAGAGATGCTAACTACGCGAATAGCAGCGATTCAACGCGATGGTGATCGAACAACAGACAGTAACAGGGGAGTGAAACATCGCGGCGTTTAGCACCAGTCTCCCACACGCATCTTCTACATGCAAACATCGTCACCCGGACGTCGATCGGCAAGAGATGCGGCCGACGTGTCGCCGCGGCCGACGTGTAGCCACGGCCGACGTGTCCCCACGGTCGCCGTCACGTCGCTGCCGCGTGACGCCACGGCCGACGTGACGCCGCGGCCGACGTGTCGCCACGGCCGACGTGACGCCGCGGCCGACGTGTCGCCGCGGCCGACGTGTCGCCACGGCCGACGTGACGTCACGGCCCACGTGTCGCCACGGCCAACGTGTCGCCACGGCCGACGTGTCGCCACGGCCGACGTGTCGCCACGGCCAACGTGTCGCCACGGCCGACGTGTCGCCACGGCCGACGTGTCGCCACGGATCGAAAATCTACTCAAAATTCATTTAAACGAGGCGATTCGATCAACACGATATTTCAAAACGCGATGCTAAAACTAAACGCGAGATAATAAAATGTACAAAAACGCGGCACACACTTTGTACACAAACAAAACATGTGCGGTAAACGCACACGAACACATCGACGATTGAACGGGGATTCACAGAGACAAGTCACGTGACCCGGTTACTTATGTTACAATAAATTACACTGTCATACCTAGACGATAACTTTACAATACAAAAAACCAGTCAGTGATCCGTACGTTTGTACAAAATGCTTTGAGAAACTGTGGCTGCAACGCACGGGTAGATGATAGACGTCAATTATGTCTCTTCAGACTTGCATAGAAACACCCCCCTCCCTCAAAAACCTCATCCTTGGGAGGAGGAGGCGGCGGGGAGGCAACTCCAGACAGACTAGCATTGCGATGGAGTAGCCTTGCGGAGCAGCACAACATCTAGATACAATAATGTAACCCAAACCCAAGATAGGTCTCTATCCTCGGTTTGGGTTACATTATTGTATCTACACAACATCTGACTACCTCTACTTCTGACGAATTCTACTTTCAACAAGTTCCCGCTTGCTGCTCTATCACTGCTCTCGTACTAGTTTTTGTGACGATCACCACAACTCAGTAACACATAACTTAATTTATTTTTGCCACTATTAAACGGTTCTGGGCGACTAAGACCAATCGCTCGCTCGCTCACACCGCACGTGTGACAGAAGCTGTGGGGGGCGGGTGTGGAGAACGGTGGTGGGGGCGGAAACGCAGAGGGACGTAGCTACTATAGTGAGGAGGGAGAACCCCTCAACGCTGAGGTGCTATCATCGAGTCAATTCTCCCACTACAGAGCTTCCTCTCTCCCTCCCCTCCCTCCCCGCGCACGCGGTCTCCCTCACACGCACGCACGCACGCACGCACACACACAGTCTCTCTCGCTCTCTCTCTCTCTCTCATACGTACACTCTCTCTAATACACATACAAACACACACTCTCTCTGTCTATCTCTCTCTCTCTCGCTCTCTCTCTCTCTCTCTCTCCCTCTCCCTTCTTCTCTCGGCTCTCTCTCTCTCTCTGGTATCCAGGAGGGTCGTATCATCCGTGATTTCCGCCCCCCGCCGCCGCGTCACGCTTGTACGTGTCGCAGTCTCTCCATGATTCACATAGCCTCTCCATCACGCAGTCTCTCCATGATTCACATAACAGCCTCTCCATCACGCAGCCTCTCCTTGATTCACATAGCCTCTCCATCACGCAGCCTCTCCTTGATTCACATAGCAGCCTCTCCTTCATCATTGCCAGGCACTCTTCTCCACGTTAACTGTCTCCGTCTTCGGCCGGGACCTCTTGAAGAATCCGCACTGCACAACACGCAACACCAATCACGATCAACGACAGCAAAGGACGTGCATATAATTAATTATAATGATTCGTAATTGTATAATTAACGTACCGTAAATATATAATTGATAAATAATTGATTCGATACGCGGCAAAAAATCGACGGATGTAATTGAACCACTAGTTGGTGGGAAACTTACGAGAAATAGAACGAGAACGAGGAGGATGAGGACTATGATTCCAGCTAGTACGGAGACTACGATCACCCATAGTGGCACGGGCCGCTCCACATCTACGTACTGAGCATCAGGTAGTGCCTTCGTTACTACCTGTACGGGAGAGAAAATAACAACTCAGACTAGAATATATGTGTAGCGAACAGTACAGAGTACATTACTGCATAGAGCGCTGTGCAGAGTACACACGTAGTATACATACATAGATACACAGATACGCGTAGAACAGAGAAAACGTACGGCCGTGGCGGTGTAACGTTACGAGGTAGTGCCTAGTATTGTCAATCGGTTGTAATTTCGTAATCGATCATCGGTTGGACCCAAGTAACCGATGATCGGTTACAATCGGTTACTCGGGGTGTTGTTGAATGCCTGGTGGGCGTAACGTCGTGTGCATGTACGTGTGTGCATGTATGTGCTTGTTTAGCCCTGTTTACTGTTTGTTTTGCACTGTTTACTACTGTGTGTATAATACATGTATGTTAATAAAGGATAACTTGTATAGTAGCGATGATATCTCTGATTCTCATCACTTCTCCAAGTTTTCTTGTTCAAGTTTTACATTTATTTCAATTTTTTTTTGTCGATGAAATCGATTATGGATTTTAATAACCAAGCGCTTGGTTCGAGCCACTATTCAACCGATGATTGAGTATAATCGATGATCGTGACATCACTAGTACCCGATGAAAACTTTACCAGACAGATACTTACGTATGCTCTGTCGTTGCTTGTGTTCTGTTGCACGTTTAGTGACGGGTCTATCTTCAACTCGGCGTGCGATAAAATTTTAATGTAGTCTAAGTGACTGTAGTCCTGAAACAAACAGCAATCGCCGACACATTAACCAGAGAAACGTTAACAGCCGACGATGCATTAATGACGAGTAGTATTATCGCACAGACGACGTTAAAGACGCGTGTCGCCCAGCAACAGCGCTAGCAGACGATCGCCACGTTGTTAATCCCACACGACGGAAGATTAATTCACATCAGCAGCAGCTCACCGGACGTACACGTCAGTGTTACGTTCAGCCTCCCACGATTTAATCACCATCGTGCCAATCACACGCACACACACACTCTCTCTCGTTCTCTTTCGTTCTCTTTCCCTCACCATCTCTCTCTCTCTCTCTCTCTCCCTCTCTCTCGTTCTCTTTCCCTCACCATCTCTCTCTCTCTCTCTCTCTCTCTCTCACTCTCTTGCTCTCTCGCTCTCTCTCTCTCGCTTTCTCTCTCTCTCCCCCTCTCTCTCTCACACGCACACTCCTCTCTCTGTCTCTCCCTGCCGCCCTCTCTGAAACACACGACTAGCAGCAGACGGTTGCAGATGAGAACACCTGCTGTGGATGATTGCTTGTTGCCGAGTGTCCGCGGATTGCACGCGATTTTCCCGTGAGATCAGATGCTGAAAGAACGGAGTCCTCAGGCAAATACTCGCCCTGATTACTGTCGCACCCCTGATTTACGCGCACTCCTGATTTTACTGTCGTCACTCTGGTTGCTGCCCTGATTGACTGTCGCACGTTGGTTCGCCGGATTATGCTGTCGCACTCCCGATTTACTGTCGCACTCCCTGATTACGTGTCGCACCCCCTGATTACTGTCGCACTCCCTGTATTACGTCGCACCTCCCTGATTACTGTCCACTCGCTGAATACCGCGTCACTGCCCTGATTTACTGTCGCACCCCCTGATTACTGTTCGCACTCCCTGATTTTACTGTCGTCCACACTCGTCCTGATTTTACTGTCGCACTCCCTGGATCGACTTCGCGACGTCCCTATTTTACGTCGCACTCGCCTGATTTACTGCGGTCCCTGCTCTCCTGATTTACTGTCGGCAACTCTCACTGAGTTACTGTCGCACTCGTCTGACCTTACCTGTCGCACTCCCCTGATTAACTGCGCACATCCTCTGGATTGAGCTGCGCACTCTCCTGATTTACGGTCGACGTCCCCATGATTTACTGTCGCATCTCCGATTTCCTGGCCGCACTTTCCCGAGTTTACTGTCGCACTTCCCCTGATTACTGTCGCACTCCCCAGCTTACTGTCGCACTCCCGTATTTACTGTTCCGCACTCCCTGATCTATCTTCGCACTCCCTGCGATTTACTGTCGCACTAGCTGAGTCTGACTGTCGCACTCCCTTGATTACTTGCCACTCCCGTATCTAATCTGTCGCACCCCGTGAAGTTACGCGTTCACTCTCTGATCTAGACGTCGCACTCTGGCCGATTTACTGTCGCCGTCTTCTTATCTACCGTCGTCGCCTCCCTGATTACTGTCGCACCGCCTGATCTACTGTCGCACTCCCTCCTGATTTATGTCCGCACTCCCTGGATTATCTTCGCACCGTCCCTGATTTGACGCTCGGTCCACTCCCTGATTTGACTGTCGCACCTCCCTGATTTACTGGTCGCTAACTTCGCTGATTTTACTGTCGTCACTTCTCCTGCTTTACTGTCGCAGCTCAGTCTCGCCTGCATTTTACTGTCGCACTCCTGATTTGACTGTCGCCTCCGGCCTGATTTGACTGTCGCGACTCGCCTGATTACTTCGTCACTTGTGTGTTACCCTGATTTACGTCGCACCCGTGTATTTACTTGTCGCACTCGCCTGTGATTTACTTGGTCGCACTCCGCCTGATTTACTGTCGCTAACCCCTGTATTTTACTGTCGGCACTCATCCTGATTTACTGTCTGCCCCCATGATTTAAGCCGCATCTCTCCATTGTATCTGGTCGATCAGCTCTTCCTGGATTTTACGTACGCACTCGCCTATGTACTGTCGCACTCTCCCCGATACCCTGCGTTCCCCACCCCTCTGATCTTACTGTCGCAGCTCACCTGATTTACGTGTTCGCGACTCGCTGATTTATCCTGTCGCACAGATCGGCTGCTGATTTACCTTAGCGCAATCTCCCTTGCGTTTCTTGTCGCACTGTGTTACCGGTGCCTATTTACTGTCGCATCTCCCTGATTATCTGTCGCACTCGGCCTGATTACTGTTTCCGCATCTGTCGGCCTGATTCTGTCCATCTCCTGATTTACAGTCGCACTCCACCTATTTTACTGTCGCACTCCCTGATTACTGTCGACGTCCCTGAGTACTGTCGTCATCTCTCCTGATCTTACCTGCGTCACTCCCGATTTGCGCCTGCATTCGTCCCCTGATTACTGTCGCATCTCCCCTGTAATTTACTGTCGCACTCCCTGATTACTGTCGCCTCCCGTCCCTGATTTACTGTGTCGCACTTCACCCCTGATTACTGTCGCACTCCCTGATTTACTGTCGGCACCCCTGATTGACATAGTGTAGGATTCCGTGTGACTCCTCTGTATAAATCTTGCCATACTAACTAGTTTCCGTACGTGCCAGTGCATCGAATTCTTAAAAATAAGCACATGCGTTAATAGAAATATCTTTAATTTTGAACTTCAGACTGCGGACTCTCTTCATTTGCTGCGGACTCCCTCTTTTTGAGGTAGGGAGTCCGTTGGACTCCGCTGTTTAAAATTTTAATTTCTACCCCTGTGTTGAATACGAA